TAGAGAAATATCTGAGGGGTGGGGGTCAAGGGGAAGGGGACAATCTCTGCTCAGTGGTGCCCAGCAACAGAACAAGGAATGATGGGTTTAAGTTAGAAACTGGAAAGTTCCAGCTCAACCTGAGGAGAAACTTGTTGGCTGTGAGGTGCCAGGCCTTTGTTTTTGGATGATTTTTCTGCTGCACCCCAAGAGGGCACCTCCGAGCCCCCACCCTGGGCTCTCTCTCCCCCTTGTACCCTCCTCAGCCCGGCAAAGCAAAGCTGGGGAGGGGAATTGCTGTCTCTAAGTACAAGGGTGGGCACACTTACCAAAAAAATAATTAAAAAAATGCAGGTTTCATAAGGCAGAAACCGAAAATAAAAAAAATTGCAAGTTTCATTATGTGGAAGATGCAGCTTGGTGAGTAACATGGAAGACCTCTTCCCTTTTTTTTATTTTGTTTTTTTTTTGTGTGTAGAGCTTGCTGGTTTTCTAGCAGAGGTTAAGTGGGATTGAAAAGCGCCGTGTGTGTGGAAACTGATTTTCATGATCCTTTACCAGTTCCGGTCCCTCCAGGGACCTATTTTTTACAGGTGTGACACCAGTTGTATTTTTCTTGCTTTTTTTTTCTCAACAGCAGAGTGTGATCCTTGCTTGGAGCATTTCCCTGCGGGGGTTAATTGATAAATCTGCGACTTCTTTACAAAACCAAAACACTTTGAGGCAGAGGAGGGTCTTATTTTGTGATGAATAAGGGAACTGCTGACTTGGGGATCTATAAACCACCTTGGAGATGGCTTCAACACGATGGTACGTGCTGAGGCCCAAGCAGCCAGCATTCCTCTCTTGAGAAGTAACTTCACTCTTTAATTTTTGTTTTTTTTGTGAAGCATTTGAGTAAGATTTTCACTTCAAGTAAGACACGGATGCAGGGAAAGCACCTGGTGGATTTCCCACCCTGAAATGCAGGTAGAATTTGCGATTTGGTCTTCTGGAAGCGCTGAATGAGAAACAAATGTGGGAAAAAAAAAAAAGTCCTGGGATTGCTCCTGCTTTCTGTTGGGCCAGGGTTCAGGTTTCTCTCGTTCGTGAAAAGTTATTTTTCTGTCCGCTCTCGTTTGAAGCGAACGCGTTGGGAATCGAGAGGGGTTGGGGTTTGGATGCGCCTCCTAAAATAGAGTTTGCGTCTTCACGATTTCTTTTGCGTGTGGTTGGGGGTGGCCTCTCTGCAAATAGTTAAAAATATCTCGGTGCTGTAGAAATAACGTGGGTGACTGGTGGCTCTGGCAGCTCCAGGGAACCGCGGTGCTCCGGAAGGACCCGGTCTGCCTCTCCTCGTACAGCTGCCGCGGAGGGAGCGCGTCCTCTCCGAGCACGTCCTCGCCTGTCGGCTTTGTGGCTTTTCAAAGATGGTTTTTCGCAACGAGCCGGTTCCCTCTCCCGCCCGAGTTGTTTTCTTCACCATTTGGCTTAAGCGCTGCCTCCAGGTTTGCTGTTTCTTCTCCAGGAACAAGGAACATGGGCAGAGCTGGGATCAAGGGGTGGCCACCGCTTCCCCGGCTTCACCCGGAGGGATTCCCGCTCCCAGAATAACGGTAGCGCCATTATTCATGTAGGAATTTGGCAAAACCTTCTTTCCAGAGGAGCGTTACTAACGTACAGGTTTATTTTCTAAACATTTTTTCCCTTTTGGAAAAAACCAGTCCTGCTGCCCTAAGCCATAACACGAGGCTCTGTTTTCCCCTTTGCTCGTGGATCTCGTTAGCTCCAGCCTGTCCTTTAGCTCGTTAACAGTCGTATTAATCTGTTCCAGCTCTCTAATCGCAGATTCCATCTCATCGGGGTTTTCTCTTGATCTTTTCCAAGCAGCTGATTATCTCATCCAGCAGTAAATGTTGCCGGGCTGACACTAATGCATATTTTGTACCGTGGGGGAATTTGACTAATAAAATAATCCAATTAGACATTTGCTTTTGTCTCCCTGGGGCATCTTAGATTACTCGTCTACCTCAGTGACGTGTTGTAATTAGCTCCCGTTTGTACATCCCTTTGATGTAAAAGTGCTGGGGTTATCCCTGGCTCTGGCTCGGGATCACAATTCGATAAAAGAAATCGCCGGGGATCAAAACTGCGGCAGCGCGGAGCGGGCGTCCGGCTGCCGTTGCACCCGCGCCGTGTCTTCAGGGCCGTAAATATTCGGAGTGTTGGGTATCAAATGTTTGGGAGCTCGTGGGCACGAGGTGTCTCAAAACAGGAGCTGTGTACAGAGCCACGCTTGTCAAAGGCAGACCTGACCGCTCGAGTTTTCTTTCTTCGTTTTCCACTTGAAAATTAATAAATCAGACGAGCTTTGCAGTCCCTTAGAGAATTACACAAATTAATTTTCTAACTCTTTTGCTTTCCTCTTTTTTTTTTTTTTCCCTTTTCCTCTCTTCTCTTCAGTCTTTCCTTGGTTTGGCTTGGACATCGGCGGGACCTTGGTCAAACTGGTTTATTTCGAGCCAAAGGACATCACCGCCGAAGAGGAAGAGGAAGAAGTGGAAAATCTCAAAAGCATCCGCAAATACCTGACGTCGAACGTCGCCTACGGCTCGACGGGCATTCGGGATGTGCACCTCGAGCTAAGGGACCTTACCCTGTGTGGACGTAAAGGCAATCTGCACTTTATACGCTTTCCTACTCATGACATGCCCGCTTTTATTCACATGGGAAGCGAAAAGCACTTCTCGAGCCTCCATACTACCTTATGTGCCACGGGAGGTGGAGCGTACAAATTTGAGCAGGACTTTCGCACAGTATGCATTTTTGGCTTCTATACCATTAGGATCTGGTAGTGAAATTCATTTTGGGGTGGGGTTTTTTTTTTTAAAGCTTTAAAACTAGAAAACTTTCTCCGCAGACTCCTAAAGCTTAGCTTTGGGAGAGCGTAACTAACTCGTTAAGCCTAGGCTGGGACAACAGCACGCGGAGTCAAGCTTACGACTCCGAATTTGGATTTTTTCGTTCTGCAAGCGCATGTAACGTTCTTATAACTCAGATTATTCACTAACTTCACAGCGTGTGCCCTCATGAGACTTTCTCTGCTGTTACTCACCTCTGATTATGCTGATTTGGCTTGTGTTGTGTTTTTTCCTTGCTGTCTCTCATGTGCTTCGTACTCATCTTCGTTTCTGCGAGTGAGCTGGTTGAGGTTCTGTCAGATTTGGGGGTAGATGAACTGGAAGGAGCTCAGGGGTTGGGGGGCGACCTCGTCACGGGGCTTCGTTGTGAGTTTGATTCTTGGTCCTAGGAGAAAAACACGCGTGACTGATCCTTAGTTTAACCAGGGCTTGGAAAGACGCCCCAAATAAAGAGACTTTTTGTGCGGGAGAGGCAGTGGTGGGCGAGGAAAACAATTTCATGACTTCATTTCTTTTTTTTGCTGTTGTTTGGGATGGGTTGAGGGAATTGTCAAACTAAGTCCCTTCTCATTTTTTTTCCTGCTGGTCCCTCAGGGTCAGGGCTTGGGTCAGGCCCTTGGAAGCTGATGAGATTCTCTCGGTGTCCATCTACGGATCCAGTTGGTCCGTTTTCCTCCCGCCCTGTTCCCCATCCGCACGCTCCAGGGCTGGGGCAGTTTGTGCTCCTCGTGCGTGGAGAAACCTGGAGCCCTCCCGTGATCTGTCCTTCTTCAGGGAGTACCCCTGGTCACAGATAATTCAGATAAAGCTGAATTTAGCCGGTGGCGAATGCCACCTTCTGGCCCTGAGCATAAACACTGCCGATCCTTAGCTACTTCTTGAATATTCTTATTTCTTTTTTTTTTTTTCCCCACCAGATGGGTGACCTTCAGCTTCGTAAGCTCGATGAACTCGATTGCCTTATTAAAGGAGTTTTGTACATCGATTCGGTCGGGTTCAACGGGCACTCGGAGTGCTACTATTTCGAAAACCCGACGGACGCCGAGCGATGTCGGAAGCTCCCGTTCAACCTGGAGAACCCGTATCCTCTGCTCTTGGTGAACATCGGCTCAGGGGTCAGCATCTTGGCCGTGTATTCAAAAGAAAACTACAAACGAGTAACGGGCACCAGGTGAGCGCTGAATTAAACTGAATTTTATTTGAGAGGCTGGAAGGCGTTTTGGCGTTGCAGGGAGGCGTTTTCAGGGAGAAGCCGCAATCAAGGCGGCGAGTGGAATGACTGAGCTGCTGCTTTTACTTCAGTCCCTTCTCTGCAGGAGTTAAAATACTTTATTTGCCATCAGAGGTTGCATAGTTTGAGATTAGCCCAGATCCGCTCGTACTGATCATGTTAACACTGTTAGCTTTGATCCTAGCGGGAGAAATTGGCCTCCTGACTCTGGAAAGGCACCTTATTTTTGGCAGAAGGGCTGCTGGCACGGCAGCGATTCCCCAGGCAGCCGCCAGACTTCGTGAAGATGTGCCTCTCCTTGGCAGGCAGAGGCCAAGAGCTCCGTGGCCTTAAGCTTCCCTGAATTTCTCCCAAGTTTGCTATAATAATAAAACCCCCAAACCACAGTAGAGCTCATACTAATACACGTAATTAATGGCATGTGCACACGTAAAAGTGAACAGGACATAGTGCTCCTGTTGTCTTTTGTTCCGCCAAGTGCTGAATCGCTGCGCTCTCACACACCTGTAACCCCTCGGGACTTGTATTTGTTTTAAAGACCAACTTCTCCGAGTGCTGGGAAGAAATTCAATAAGGACAAGTGCAGAGTCCTG